TAACAAACACGGGACATAGTAAAAGCAAGGATAGAGAAAGGAATAACCTTACTAAGAAAGCACAAGCGTTAGGAGTATACAGCGTGCGACGGATAAATTGTCGTCTAAATGACGCAAAAATGAAAATAACACACGAGTAAATTTATTCAATAAAATTGCCATTGGCTTCAACCACGGCCTCCAGACGACTTCGGAATCATTTGCAACTGTCCTTGTTTAAGTTCGTGAATGTGCCATAATCCTTGCCCTCAGGTCATCGTCGGTGTTACAAGGAGTTTTGTTAGTCTCTCACTCAACTGCGCCCTACACATAGTAATCAAGGGGGTTGCAGTCTGGGGAGTTAGGTGGTCAGATGCAAGGGGTGATGTGGTCGCAGAAATTGTCTAACAGCTATGACTGGGTTCTCTTGCTTGTGTGGTATGGTGCAGACAGACATAGAGTCTTCCAGCAGCCACCCTCTTGACCCAAAGCAGAACTTAAGGCACTTGATGTAGGCCTCCTTGTTGAGTCTGAGTCCCTGTGGGAAGATGAATGGAGGCATAACGTCACCACCACATATCACTCCAAACACTGTAATCACAATTAGACTCATCCAACTCTTTCCGAATTCTCTGAATTGTCCTCAGATGGACACACAAACACTCTGAAATGTTCGTATTGGAACTTCCGGTGCGAATGCCAAGCAGTACATCATGCCGTTTCCAAATATCTACCGAAATGAATTGTGTTATGTGCTCTTTTTTTTCTCACAGACGGTGCTGACCCTACTATACTGTGCAATCTACAAAAATTAAAAAAAAAAAAAAAAAAAACAATGCGCATGCGCGTAATTAAAAATATATAATAACGACAATTTACCCATCGCACCCTTTAGAAGGAAATAGAAATTCTTGTTTCCGGTTCAGGATTGGGTTTCCGGTTCCAGCTAAAGTACCTTCAGCTGTATAATCATAACGTTTGTTCTTTCCTATGTTAATACAACCCTACACAATAACCCTCTACCTTGAATGGCTCTTGGGCTTCGTATTGGGTGAACATTATTAAAAAAAAAAAAAAAAAGCTACAAACAACAGTAAGTTGTGGAGAACCATGATCGCCTACGTCCTGAAGAGACACAGCACTTAGAAGTCTACTCTTATATTTTAAATACTAATTAACCCAATTACGCCTAAATAGCAGAGAAGTCGTTCCCTTGAAATAAAAAATCATTTCTATGAGCTGAGCACATTAACTAAGTCTCATTTTTTTTTTTCTTTTTCCTACCGTTTTCGTCTTTGCTCCACGTGCCCTTCCCCTCTACCACTAGTTTCCCTGTTCTCACCCCTCTTACTAGATGTACATGTATGCTCAGTACTTTCCTTCGACTTTCCTTTCCCTAAATGCCGCGGGGGTTGAAAGGTCGGCTGAATCTGAGTCGCTGTGATTATCATGTGTTCGCATCTGTAGGGATCGTTTATTCTTAGCTCTTGCCCCTGAACTTATGCCTACTACTGCTACTATGGCCCTTGTCAGAACTCACGTCCATCGTGTCGTCACCCTGGATACCTATCAAAATTCCGCTCGCATTTTCACTGCACATGCCCCCATATCTTCTTGACTGTTTGAACCAGGAAAGTTATTTCAATCGCTACTCCCAGTTTGGGCTGTATTATTTTCTTCTGCTCTTCCTCGACGCTTCAAAATATTACGCTCTAAGTACCGGCAAAAAATGAATGCGTTTTTACTTAGATACGAGCGAAAAAAGAAAAACAAAAAAAAACAAAACAAAAACGCTACCTTGTTTAAAAAAAAATATATGGACCTAATTGAAGAATTATCCGATTTAAATTAAATCTTTAATACTTATTTATTTATGAATTAACTGTATACTGACCAGGTCATTTTATTAGAAAATTTTGTAGAAATAATTTTTGACAGGAGCAGTTAACTAACACTATTTTAATATATCGTGAATACTTTTAAAAATGAGGTGGGGGTATTTTTTTATATAATTTTATGAAGTAAATTCTCTGAAGATTATTTCAGTGAAAACCTTTTGGCAATCAAACCAGAAAATCTTGAAAAATTGTCAAGAAACTTTACAAAAGTAATTAAAAAAAAACTCAAAAAATAATTTATGTTGACGCTTGCATAATTTAATAAATCGCATTATTTTCTCTCAGATTTGACATTGAAAAAATCTACAATGAATATTTATTTTTGAAAAATTTACTTGTAAGTTTTTTTTTTTAATTTTTCTGGGATTTTTTTCAAATTATCCCGAAGCGGCGTCAATGTGTGGCGTTCTTCCTGCAGCACAATATTACGTTACTCGTCTCTAAAAATGACGTGGTTTAAGATTGTTGCAGAATCGTTATTATTATTTAGGGGTAAATATTTAGTCACCGTGATGTTGGGCGAATCAACACCAAGGATACGGGCTCCCAGAAAATTTATCCCACAAATGATATTGGCGGATTAAACGTGAGTCCAAGTAAAAATGAGTGACAAGATAAAAAATAAAAAATAAAAAAAAAAACGACAGCTAATTGCGTGTATTGACAGAACGGTATTACCATTACAGTGTAACCCGGATATAAGAGAGTTGTCTGGACCGGAGAAGAAGTCTCTTATATCCGGGTTTCTCTTATATCCGGGTTTGGTCTATTTTGTTTAGGTAAGTATGGGCTCTAATTTGGGACCAGAGAAAATCTCTCTTATATCCGGGGTTTCTCTTATATCCGGGTTTCTCTTATATCCGGGTCTCTTATATGCGGGTTACAATAAAAGAAGAAAGTCTTTAAAGGCACGTGACGAAAAAGAGAATGTATGTGTGTGTGTGTGTGTGTGTGTGTGTGTATAATGTGTGTAGGCCTACGTGATAGACACGTCTATGAAAGGGTACAAAAGTCAAGAGAGAACACTCTCAAGCTCATTAAGTATGCAACGCGTTGTTTTCCTCTGCCCCTCTTTGCCCTTTATCTGTCCCGTGAGTATCAGATTTTCCAAGCCTTCTTTCCTCATTATGTGCCACAGAAACTTCAATAGTCTCTTCCTGCGTAAGATTTTTTTTGTTTCCATTTTCTCTAAAACCTTGTCGTTGCTCACATGTTCGGTCTCTGGTATCCTCAGCATCCTTCTGTAGTACCACATTTCTGTTGCTTCAACTCTCTCCTTCAAAATTCACACACTGAAGTCCTCAAGGACATATAGCCCAGTAGATAAAAGCGTTGGTTGAGTCCAGTGACTTGACCCAAAGAGTTGTGAGTTCAATACCTGGCTACAGCTGAGGCGAACAAAAAACTTGGAGAGTTGAGTTAAAGGGAGATAACTAATGCTGAGACATCCGGAAGAGGTATGGCACGTGGACGAAATAAAGGGTTTAGTCAGAAATTTCAGTCACCTGAAGAAGGACGGAGCGTACAGTTGTCATATTCAAGTACAAAAGTGAACATGGTAGCAAAGATGATGACAACAGTCCGAAGAAAATAATGTAAATAAACTTAAGGTGGTCATCCAACATTCACTGTCATATAGGAGAACCTGAAGAAAGCCGGAGCGTACAACGACCGAAACGTCGTGAATATAACAATAAAGATGAGGATAACAGTCTGAATAATGTAAATAGTTAGAATACCACATCTCAGAAATATAAACAGATCCTGAAGAAGGTCGGAGCGTACAACGGCCGAAACGTCGTGAATATGGCAATAAAGATGAGGACAACAGTCTGAATAATGTAAATAGTTAGAATACCTCATGTAAAAAATATGATTTTAGATGGGAGAATTTGCTCTGTACCCGGGATTTTAACACTGTGGCTGCACCTTCCTCATTGCAGCAATAGGGGAGGGGTCGGTTTAATATCGATGCGAACGTAACAGCTTTCGCCGGGACAGGACAAAACAATTTTTGCCCTCTCCTATATGCATACGTATGTAAATCGTGCTCCCCATGGACTTATGTCACATTCTGCTTTAGTGGAGAGGCCAGGTAAATATCTCTATACAACTTACATGGCACAGGAGTTGACCATAGCCAATGAGAATTTTATGAGGCGTGGTCATTGCTCGTGTGCTAATACATTATGGATAAAAAATATAGTGAATTTTATATCGTCTGTTTTTCCTCGACATGGCATGAACAAAACAAATTCACGAATATTTGCTTAAAAAAGACCCCAGAATCCCGTCAAAATTTGCGAAATTTTTTCATCCTTTGATAATCATTTTTGTTTAATTTAATTTGTAACCTATATAAGTGTAGGTAGAAAAAAAGCAAATGTTGATAAGATAGTGAGGGTCACAAAGCATTGCCCGGGAGCTCCAAATAATTCTCCAAGCGGTGGGGGTGGGTTTCGTGGCACCGGCCCTGAATATATGTATTTTGTTATGGAACATAAGAATCCGTCAGCAAATTATTATATTATTAACTATTAAATTTTAACCTACTATAAGAAGTTACAATGACTAATATTAACTAACTTATCTTTATAAAAATGAAAATATTTTAGCTTATAAATATTTTTCACAAATTACATAAAATTAAATCAAGCAAGTGTTGATTGACTTACAAACTATTTTCACAAACATTTCTTATAAAATATTCTTTTCATTAATAAATTCATTCATTTATGAATAAACATCGAAAATTTTATCAAAACTTGGTTTATTTTTGGTAGATTTGTAAAATCTGGATTTAGTTCGACTGTTGAGAGATTACGAAAAGTGAGCAGACAGGTTATAACAATTGCTGGCAGCCAAAGCTAAAGACGTCAGAGTATGAAAATCTTGACGGTTGTACGATATATCCGGGATGGAAACTCTCCTTCCTTCCTTTTTTTGTCTGGTTTAAAAGATTTCGACTTATGAAAAAAAAACAAAGCCTAAAAAAATACGTCTGTCTTACACTGTGTGACTGTCGACGTCAATTGTTTACTTCAATGTCTTGTTTAATATATCAAGGCTTTCCACATGATTTCCATATCCGGGTTCATGAATATAAAATTAGAATAGGCGAGTTCAAAATGAGTTGATAGATAGATAGATAGATAGATAGATAGATAGATAGATAGATAGATAGATAGATAGATAGATATGAACAGAGACTGTGATAGATAGATAGATAGATAGATAGATAGATAGATAGATAGATAGATATGAACAGAGACTGTGATAGATAGATAGATAGATAGATAGATAGATAGATATGAACAGAGTGAAATAGATAGATAGATATGAACAGAGTGAAATAGATAGATAGATAGATAGATAGATAGATAGATAGATATGAACAAAGTGAAATAGATATGAATAGAGTGTGATAGATAGATAGATAGATAGATAGATAGATAGATAGATAGATATGAATAGAGTGAGATAGATAGATAGATATGAACAGAGTGAGATAGATAGATAGATAGATAGATAGATGAACAGAGTGAGATAGATAGATAAATAGATAGATAGATTTCCAAAAAGGTATAAATATTTACTATAGCAACAAACTACGCCGATAAACCTTCTGCATATGTTAGTATCACTATGCCGCTATTTTCCCACGTAGTCGCCATCAAGATTTATTTTATACATTTATTTTTAAACCCGTGCATATATTAACTTTTATTTCATTTTCAGACATAAAACACAGACAACACTCCATGGGTTTATCGTAAGAAACGGTAATTATTTTTTTAAGTACAAAAAACTAAAATATTTTTAAATTCTTGTTTATAAAGTGTTTAAAGTTTTGGGATCTTCATCACGGACTTCGTTAAAGAAAATGTTTATCCCCATTTATAGCCAAACAATGGGTCCCAGTGAATTTCTGTTTTCGTCGAATCGTTTTGTTGTCGATAGGTGAAAGAGAATTTCTCGTTTCTATTTGAACAACCAGAATCGATAAAGCACCAACCACTTGGCAATGTTTTCGCGCGGTTTTTAGCGTAGCGGGCAGGTGTTGCCTCTACGTGTGATAAATGGCAACTTGTGTCCAACACACTACGAACTGATGTCATTTAACGGCCATCACTTGACTCTCGTAAATTCATCTTTCCTAAAGGGAGATAATCGCGCTATATAGTGTAGACTACATTGAGAATTGGAAGACTGTGTTGCGTCACGACGAGGCTGAGAGTGATCACCTCGCCAATCGGCATTTGAAATTAGGTGTTTCCAACTCTCCTGATGGCTTCTCGGTGTCTGAAAAAGTCACGAGATTTTTCGTTGCTACATTAGTCCAGGTCAAGGGAGAAAGGAATGTAGTGAGAAAGAAAAATGAAGGAACGAAAGAAAGAAAGAAAGAAAGAAAGAAAGAAAGAAAGAAAGAAAGAAAGAAAGAAAAAGGAGGGAATAAAAAGAAAGAAAAAATAAGGAAGAAATAAGAAAAAGAAAGAAAGAAAGAAGCAAGGAAGAGTGGTAGAGAAGAAAGAAAAAGGAAGGAAGCAAGACAAAAAGAAGGAAAGGAAAAAAGAAAGAAATAAGGAAGAAAGGAAGGAAAATAGAGAGGAATGAAAAAGGAATGAAGGAAGGAATTTGAGGAAAAATATTCTGTGACTTACCATTTTTATTGATGCCCATTACCAAAATGTCTATTTTCTTTTCGAGTTTGATGATTTGATCTTCAAGTTCGTTCAGTTTCCTGTCCAAATGTCCGTCAGGTCGGGGAAATCGTGGCCTAAAATGTCCATGTTCGTTATGGTCCCTGTGAGCCGACACATGATTTATGACACAAGATAGAAACACGATCAGCTTGAGAATGGTTGCCATTTTCTAAATTTTCCTTTCTTGGATTCAAACTTCCATCAATAAATAGTAATACATAACTTTATATATATATATATATATATATATATATATATATATATATATATATATATATATATACTAAGCTTGTGAGAATGCATATGGTTAGTTACATAATTCTCAGTGAAAAGATATGCCTTATCTTACACGCATGCGCACAAAACAAAATGTTTAAAATTATTATCTCAGCCCCATTAAATTTATCAAAACTTAAAGAAATGATAAAGTAAGAAAAAAAAAGATTAAACAATAGATTTTAAAATATATTCATAATAAAAATCTTAGACGGATTTATGAGGCAGGCATATATCTATCTTACGCACGGTGAATATTAGACCCGGCTTCTTTAATATTTCCCCTTTTCTGGCAAGATTAATGCTCGACAAACGTACTTATAAATTTTAGATTAAAATAAAATTATTTTTCATTTAAAATATACTCTATTTTAGGAATACGTTTTCACAACATCGCCCACGTGACGCCGACGTGATCGTATTGCGAAACGGAACGCTGATCTTTAAATCTTCAGTTATTCTGTTTTGATTAGTCTTATGTCTATCGTCTTTTCATGTTGACTTGAATATCGTCTAATTTTAATTATGTTTTAATAATTATGTCCTGAAGAAGGTCTACCAGACCGAAACGTCTGACGTCGACATTGAAACAACATTAAAACAGCATACTTGCATATTCGGATTTTTGTTTTTCCATATTTTCTTCAAACTGGAATATGTAAAGTGAATCTGTATTTTTGACAAAGTTTTTAAATAGTCTGAGAAAAGAAAGAAAGAAAGAAAGAAAGAAAGAAAGAAAGAAAGAAAGAAAGAAAGAAAGAAAATGAAGATTGAAGAAAGAAAGAAAGAAAGAAAGAAAGAAAGAAAGAAAGAAAGAAAAATAAACGGAGGGGAAAATTATAAATTCTGTTAGAAAAATGTCATGCGATATTTAATTTAAATTATGTTGCATCCTGAATATTTCAGCTGGAAGGTTAATTTCTTTTTCTTTTCTTTTTTATCTGATTGAATGAGAACAACTCAGTATCTATTCTGATGACCCCACCCCATTTACACCTGGCTTAATAATAAGGCTGATCAGTCCGATAAGGTCAAATTGGCAGCTGATCTAAAAAATGACCGACAATCTTCTGTTAATTGCGATAAGAAATTACTTGTTAATTTTAACGCTTCAAAAACGAAACTGCTTTCTATCAATCATCTGAAAGACCCCCTTTCAGCCTTCCATCAGCATGGCTGATGCTAACCTCCACGAGAGTCATTCGTTGCGCCTTCTCTGAATAACATTTTCCACTGACATGAAGTGGAAAGATTACATTGAATCAATTGCTTGGTCTGCTTCTAGAAAAGTTGCTTCACTGTGTCGTGCCAGACATTTGTTTTTCTCGCCATCATCCTTCTTACAAATTTTACGCCTATAATTCGAATATTGCTGCGACATCTACTTTGGTGCTTCTGATACACATTTAGAGATTCTTGATAAGATCCAAAGAAGAATCTGCAATTTTATGGGTCCTGTCCTGGCATTTCACATGCAGTCACTTTCACACCGCCGTAATATAGCTTCCCTGTACCTTTTCCATAAATACTTTCATGGTTCTAATGAACTTTCCTCTATGGTACCTAGACTTTATGAATTTAAATGAATATGAATTAAGAAGAGAGAAAATAACGATTGATATTGCATTTGAATTTTTGGAGATCAAAGTTGACTGGGAAGCAAGAAATCGGAAGAGATTTCCACAGGCGAGAAGTGCGAGAGAAGGATCTGTTAACATAGAATTTACGGTTATATCTAGCCATTGCAGCTGTAAAATAGTGAGACATTGCCACCAATCTGGTACTGACAAAAAGAGAATGGAAATAGTTTACTACTGTGAAGGTGGACAAGCGGGTCCTAGCTGTGAAGTGTTACGGTTTTTTGGGTATATACTACCCATAACTAGTGAGCGAGTCAGAATGACTTATTTCCCTTTATAGTCGACCAATAGAAGGTTAACCAATCAGAAGCCGCCCAACACTGTATTCGTCGTGTATAAAGGCGGCCATCTTGTTTCCTCTACCGGAAGGACCAAAGGCGACCAAGAGAAGGATGAACTACGCTCTGCTGTGATATCCACTGCGAACCTTCACTACGCTTTCCTACTGTCTCCGAAATATTCACTGCCAACCTCTGGATTCAATACTCGAGGACGACCGTCATGAAAATGTCTAACATGAAGATCTGAGCTAGTGGAACTTTGGTTTGGTTTCGTTTGGTTATGGCATATCAACCTCAATGGGTTATTTAATGCCGACAAAATTTTTATTGTTGGTAATATTTTTTTCCTTCAAAAATATATTGCTGGAAATTTGTTTTAATGTATAGCTAGTAATATTTAAAATAATGTATGCTGGTAATATTTAAAATAATGTATGCTTGTAATATTTTTAAAAAAATGTATTACTGGTAATAATTTTTCTTCAAAAATTTATTGCTGGTAATAATTTTTTACAAAGTATTTCTGTTATTAAAACCTATTTTTACACTTTTACTGTGTTTTGAACCCACTTTTTTTTTTTTGGGGGGGGGAACTATTTACCCGTGACTGGGACCCTGACAGGTGCTACCACCCTGGGTCATGATGGATCTGGGAACACCAGCAATTAAGAGGTGGTTCCACGCTCCTAAAACCTCCTGATCAGAGGCCTTGCTGTTGGATGTAAGTTATCGTCTTACCCAGGACGCGAGCTGGTGAAACTTAAAATCTTTTAGCTCCATCGACAAGCAAATTAATCAATCAATCCATTTTTAAAATATGAAACTGTAGTGAACCAAATGACTAAAAAAATGTTTCCAAAAAACATCTGCATACTAATACGCTCGTGACTGTATATGGTGTGTATCATGCTTAGTATCGCAGATAATGAAAGGAAAGCAAGAAGAGAGAGGAGGGCGTAGAGACACACACACACACAAAAAAAGGCAAGTTCAAATTCAAACAACGTCTTCTTCAGATCTTTGTAGAACAAACTAACGAAAGAATACAACTACATTCTTAGTCTCTTGAAGTCCAGGTTATACCCTATTCATCCTCATAATACTTTCTTACTTCCCCCTCCTTTACAATATTACTCTACCTTGAGTGGCTCTTGGTGCTTGTATTGAGTAAACTAACAATAAAAAATAACCTACCTTTGTGGGTTACTTAAAAACGAAACATATTTGGAATTATAACGAAATTTCTTGTTTGCGAATTAATATTGCATTAAATTTTTGAGAATAACAATAATTTTTTCAGGTAGAAGTTTCACCCATAGCTGGGGGAGAGTCGAAATGGAGTCATACTTTTCTAAGCGAATGTAACGAACCCGAATAGAATTCAAACTCGGCTCCTCGATTTTTCATTCCAAGAATTACATTCTCCTTACACCAGCCGAACATCCACATCTTAAGAATGGTAAAAAAAAAGAACCAAAATTGAATTGCAATCCCAGAAAAGTGATCTGTATTTGAACTACCTTCGGTGGCACCATCTACATCACGTATTACTATTTACATTATTCGGACTATTGACTCATCTTTGTTGCCGTATTTATCACAACATTTCGGCCGTTGTACGCTCCGGCCTTCTTCAGGTGGTTGGAATGTCGAACCCTTTTATTTCGCACGCTGGGATAGACTGTTCTAGTTCCCCGTGCCATGTGCAATGGATGTCAGTTATCAGTTATCTCCTGTTAATTCCCCTCAAGGACGCATAGCACAGTGGATAAAGGCGTTGGTTAATTCACCACTGCCTTAACCCGGTATTGAACTCTGTCACTGAATCTAACCAACGCCTTTATCCACTGTGCCATGTGTCCTTGGGGGCAAATATAGACAGATTCTATTGTTTTATTCTCGCATCAATTTTGGTGAACAGTGTTTTATTAACACTGTTACGTTCGAGTGTTGCTACTCAAATTGAAATCTGAAACGTTAGTGTGAAAGTTCACAACTTCTCAATCTGACGTGACACATGAAACATCTGGACACTTTCTGTATTGAGACTAATACACGTTTTCCTTAACCCTATTCAGAAAACACACCCAACAGTTAACGGAATCCTGATTGATTTATACACAAATCAATGACCCTTTCGATAGACTTTAAATTTGTAAATCTTTTCTCTGTTTATTTTATAAAAGAAAAGAAAAAGTTTTCTTTTCGATAGCAAAATGAAAGTGACGCTTATTTAACGAGAAAAATATTGAAAAATTAATTTTTCTTTGGTTATTCTAAATTTTCATTAAAACAGTTTGTCAAGTAGTCTAAGAGATAATGATATTGTTCGATAAAAAAAATAATAAAAATGCTACCCATTTTTATAAAAATCATCTCGCTCCAAGCAAGGCAATAAAGCCACTAGGATTCACGGAGTTAGTGAGTGTTAGAGAATACAAGAAGAAATGATCGCTATTAAGGGCAGAGAACAACAAAAGAACAAGAATTAAGAAGACAGAAGATAAGGATTGACATTACATTTAAATTTTTGAAGATTAAAGGCAACAAAGCCACTAGGATGCAAAGGGTTACAGAGTGTTAGAGAATATGAGAGAAAACTACTATTAAGGCGAGAGGACAATAAAAGAACAAGAATTAAGAAGACAGAAGATAAGGATTGATATTACATTTAAATTTTTGAAGATTAAAGGCAATAAAGCCACTAGGATGCAAAGGGTTACTGAGTGTTAGAGAATATGAGAGAAAACTACTATTAAGGCGAGAGGACAATAAAAGAACAAGAATTAAGAAGACAGAAGATAAGGATTGACATTACATTGCAACCTGTGAAAAAAAGGGCTGAGTTCAAGTGCAGCGACAAAAGAAATTAATGATGTGGAAAGCTCAGGAACTTTTAACGAAAATGTGGCACGAAAACTGATTCAGACGTTTCAAAGACCGTAAGAACAGTCTCGAAGACAAACCAATGTCATAAAGACCTTCTACTATGAAAAATGAGTTCTTGCTTGACGTGGTTTCAAATTTCAGAACCTGTTGTCAAACAAGGGTGGTTTAAACAGAAAGTCATATTGTGTGTTTGGTACAATTTCCAGGTGGTGTTGCGCTTTGAGCTTATTCCAGATGGTCATGCTGTAAACTCTGACCTTTGTACTCAACATCTGCAGCGGGCATATGATGCTTTCAAAGTCTGCTATCCAGCATGAAGATGTAAACTTAAAAATATGTGCAGATCTGTATGGATCATTGACTGACCAAATGTGCACTTCACGAGATGAATTTTAAAGACATGAAGCAGCTACAAAGTAAATGCTACCAGATGCTGCTCACAATGCAACTACCAAATCGTAAGCCTATTAGTATGAAGGTACCAAATGATGGAGATGTAACAAAAGTCTATCTGAATTCTAGAGATAAATTTCGTATTACCATCTTTGGCACAATTATTGTCAAAATTGAAACTGAGAAGAGACAATAAGAAGAGATGTAGAAAGGAATATCAGAGATTTTATTTTCTAAGTAATGTGACACATAATGACATTTCAATGACATCTACCGAAATTCTATGTTTTCAGTCAAAATAACCAACAGTGACTAATGTGCTTACTTTATGAAAGAGTTCTTCTCTCAAGTAAAGCTATGAAACCTTCAAGGCTCCGTGAACATGCTAAGAAAATGCATTTGTCGAGTTACCTCCTCCTGATTTTTGAAACCGCTACTTGGGAACGACCTCCAACCCACGGTGATACTCTCTCTCTCTCTCTCTCTTCTCACTTTTCAGTTGATACTACAACAATGTAAATCTCGCGCAGATGATTGCGTTTTTCCATTTGTTGGAAACGTCATGAACAATACACATATACACACATACATACGTACACATATTCACTCACTCCATATACTTGGGACCAAAAAATTTTCACAT